TCTTCTTTCTCACTTTTCTAGAATAAGGCAGGGATTATAGTTTAGCATTAAAAATGGAAGCACCTCATGGTTTTGTAACAATATTGTAATTTCTCGTCAGTGGGCCAAATGATCTCTTCAGCTATGCAGCATGTATCAGCACATGTTACTGAGGGCATGGCTACACTTGCAGATGTAGAGCGCTGTGAGTTAAACCCGCCTTCGGAGAGCGCAGTAGGGAAAACGCTGCAGTCTGTCCACTCTGACAGCTGCAAGCGCACTGGCGTGGCCACATTTGCAGCACTTGCAACGGCATTGGGAGCGGTGCATTATGGGCAGCTATTCCACAGAGCACCTCTTCCCATTCTGGCGCTGTGGGAAGGGGGCGGGGGGTGCAGGGCATTCTGGATCCTGTCCCAACGCCCCATGATGCATCGGTTCGCATCCCAGCAATCCCTCTGCTTCTGTCCACATTTGGCGCCATCTTTCAACGTTTTTTTGTGCTGCGCGCTCTGTCTTCCCTTTTGGTCTGTGGGAATGGAGCCCGAACTGCTGAGGAATATGCTGACAAGTCTCTCCAGCACGTCACGTTTGGCAGTCGAGTTACTCCTTAACATCCAAACTGACAGTGAGGACTCCGATGATATCGACTCGTGTAATGCATAGGACAAGAGATTGCTTGTGGCATTCACAGACATGCTCACCACCGTGGAAAGCCGCTTTTGGGCTCGGGAAACAAGCACTGAGTGGTGGGATCACATTGTCATGCAAGTTTGGGATGACAAGCAGTGGCTGCAGACCTTTCGGATGAGAAAAGCCACTTTCATGGGACTGTGTGATGAGCTCGCCCCCACCCTGCGCCGCAAGGACACGAGATTGAGAGCTGCCCTGACTGGGAAGAAGCGGGTGACTATTGCAATCTGGAAGCTGGCAACTCTAGACAGCTACCAATCGGTCACTAACCAGTTTGGAGTGGGAAAGTCTACCGTTGGAATCGTGTTGATACAAGTTTGCAACGCCATTAGTTGCATCCTGCTCAGAAGAACCGCGATTCTGGTTAACGTGCATGACGTTGTGGCTGGCTTTGCACAAATGGGTTTCCCTAACTGCGGAGGGGCAATAGATGGGACGCATATTCTAATTCTAGCACCAGTCCACCTAGCCTCCGAGTATGTTAATCAGAAGGGGTATTTCTCTATGGTTCTCCAGGCGCTTGTGGATCACCGTGGGCGTTTCATTGACATTAACGCAGGCTGGCCCGGAAAGGTGCATGACGCACGCATCTTTCGAAACACTGGCCTGTTCAGGAAGCTGCAAGCCAGGACTTTTTTCCCCGGACCAGAAGATCACCGTAGGTGAAGTCGAAATGCCCATTGTGATCCTTGGAGACACCGCTTACCCTTTAATGCCATGGCTCATGAAACCTTACACAGGGAGCCTTGACAGTGGCAAGGAGCAGTTCAATAACCGGCCAAACTGGTGCAGAATAACTGTGGAGTGTGCTTTCGGCCATTTAAAGGGCCGCTGGCGCTCTCTGTATGGGAAGCTGGACCTGGCCGATGACAGCATCCCTGCGGTTAGATCCGCGTGCTGTACCCTCCATAACATTTGTGAAGGGAAGGGTGAAAGATTCACTCAGGCATGGACCTCGGAGGTTCAACACCTGGAGGCTGAATTTGAACAGCCAGAGAGCAGGGCTATTAAAGGGGCCCAGGGCGGGGCTGCACGGATTAGGGATGCCTTGAGGGAGCAATTTGAGGCTGAAAGTCACCAGTAATTTCTGGTGCCCTGCACGGGAGTGAAGTCCAGTGGTTCCAATTTTAGTAGGAATCTGTGTTTGCTATGCTGACTTGCAGTGCCTGTTGCTTTCCTGGGCTAAGGTATCTTTTACTATATGCAATAATAAAGAATGTTTTCAAAGCCAAAAAATCCATTTATTGAAAAGAAACACAACTGCATGGGAAACAGGGCAAAGGGGTGGGGTGGGGAATGATACAATCACAGATTTGCATATGTCCTGTTAGCATACTCAGCCTTCCTGTCTGGAGTGCTGTGCAATGAGTGCTGCACTTCAGGATGGCTATACTGCATGGTGATGGGGGTTGAGTGCAGTGCGTAAGTGTCATAGTTTTCAGGGCTGGGTGGTGAAGCTACATGTGTTGGAAGCAGCTGGTGGCGATAAGAACCTGGATGTTGGGGAAAGTGGGTTGGAGGTGACATGGGGGCACAAGGGAAAGAGTTTTGGGACAAGGGCTGCAGCAGGGGGTGGGTGCGGTAGTGCTCCGCCTGCATGGCTGTGAGCGCCTGGTTCGAGTCCGCTTGATGCTTATCAGCCGATCCGTGCTTTGCTGCCGGAGCTCCGCGCTTTTGTGCCGGCGCTCCTCATTCTGCTGTCGGATTCTCCTTTCACTCTCCCTTCACTCCTGCACTTTTAGATTCTCATTAAGTGACTGCTTCATTACTTCATGCAGCATGTCTTCCTTGCTTCTACGTGGCCTCTTCCTGAGTCTTTGCAGTCTCTCGGCCAGTGATAACACGGACGGCTGAGATCTCAAGGTTGCATCTGTAAAGGCAAAATGCAACACTTAACAGAGGCAGCATTGTTCACACCAGACAGAGCAATGATTCCTCCGTACTTAAGGAGGACAAGCACAGTCTACACAATAGCATAATTTGCCCGTCCCAAAGCGAGCGCACATAACCCACAGGAGCCCCAAAATGGTGAGTAAGCACAGGGTCCAGGGGGAATGATTGTTTCATGGCTGTACTGTCCTCTGGGTTTCTGTGCCTTGGGGAGAGCCAACAGCTGCAGGGGGCCCCTATACTGTCCCCACACTTTCCACAGGAGTTGGTCCTGGAAGATATCTCGCTGCTGAGGGTGACCTGGGAAGCAAGGGAGGGTCTTCTACTGCAATACAGCTTCCGCCCTGGCCCATATGCAGCTTGCCTGTGTGCAGCTTGCCCCGCCCCTCACTGCACGGTGGCGCAGACATGTTAGCCCGACTGGGACAAGGACCACAGTGGCTCTCCCAAGAAACCTGCGCAAGCGCATTGCCCAAGTTCTGGCTGAGACCTTTGAAGAGATCACTGAGGCTGATTACCGCGATGTGAGAGAGCATATCAACGCCCTATTCTGCATCTAGGAATGCATGCAGCCCTAACCCTCCTCGCCCTAAGAGCCCGCACCGAATAACTTCCTTCCCAAAATAAAAGCCGCTTACCGGGAACCTCCTCTGGTGTTTGTCCTTCCCCAAGCACCAGCCGCTGCGACTGGCTACCTTCGTCCTGGCTTGAGAACAGCTCCTGGCTGCATGCATCTAGGGATTCCAGGGTGTCTTCTTCTGCCTCAGCACACTCGCTCCCGTTTTGCTGCTGCTCCTCCTCCTGCCTTGTTGAACTGGGCTCTGAAGTGTCCATGGTGGTCCTCGGAGTGGAGGTGGGGTCGCCCCCAAGTATCGCGTCCATCTCTTTGTAGAAACGGCAGGTCGCGGGGGCAGCACCGGGGCAGCGGTTTGCCTTGTGGGCTTTGCGGTGGGCATGCCGCAGCTCCTTCGCTTTAACCCTGCACTGCAGTGCGTCCCGGTCATGGCCTCTTTACGTCATGTTCCTTGATATCTGCCCGAAGGTATCGTAATTCCTACGGCTGCAAGCGCAGCTGGACTGGACAGCTTCCTCCCCCCAAAAACTGATGAGGTCCAGCACCTCGCCATTGCGCCATACTGGGGATCGCCTGGCACGTGGAGGCATGGTCACCTGGAGAGATTCGCTGATAGCAATCCACGCCTGGCTGAGCAAACAGGAAGGGGATTTTCAAAATTCCCAGAGAATTTAAAGGGAGGGTCTGACGGTTGGTTACCTGAGGGCAGGGCAGTAGAGTTCAAACTGATGACCAGAGTGGCTAGAACAGGCATTGTGGGACACTTCTGGAGGCCGATCAGAGCACATTAACAGACCAGGGTGTCCACACTGGCGCCGCGGCGCTTCAGCAGGGGTGCATCAAACGTTATTCCACTCACCAAGGTGGAGTACCAGGAGCGCTCTAGCCGCAGAGTCCGAGTGCTCTATGTGCCTTGCCAGTGTGGACACATCATGAGTTAGAGTGCACTGGACTGCTTTAATGCTCTCTAACTCGCAAGTGTAGCCATGCCCTGGTGGTGGGATATCTTTTTAGATTTCTAAATGTCATGAATAATCTCCTGCATGTATTAAAATGTCCTATCAGTGAATACTTAAATAAAAAAAAAATGATTTCTAGTAGTGTCAGATGGATCATAAGCCACAATCATGATGACAGCTTCCAATTGATAGAAAATAACATGCCTTGGGATGGAAAATTTCAGTAAGACGTATATCCTCCTTGTACTTCCTATCTTGGAATGCACTTCACTGCTAGAGAATCAGTTATCATCCAAACTTCACTCTTCAGAACCCAATTCCTATAACTGGTTGTAGTGGCAGATTCCCATTAGTAGATGTTTCTGCAAAAATAGAGGGGGAAAGAACATAGGTTGCATAGCTGCATATTGAAGGTGAAGGGGGGTTATTAATTTATTATTGATTATTATAATAGAATTAATTGATATTACAAGAAAAATTTTAGTCTGCTTTAATTTTCCCTATTTTATGCTTTTTTTAAAGTACTTTTTTATGATGCTCCACATAAACTGCAAAACTAGGCTAGTAGACTTCAGTTCTCATCACCCTTCAGTGTTTTGGCAAGCAAGACATTCTTTTTAAGTACTTTCTGAACATTTTTTGATAAACATTTCTAACAGGCTTTAGGTTTTGAAAAACCCTTGTTTTAGAAAACCTAAGTCCCTCCTCCCCCCAACTACCTGAGTGTTTCTACTAAAAGGAAGAAATGCTAGTATAAAAAAAGTAAGGTGGGGGTAAAGTGAAATAGTGTAAATAATTGAATAGTTTAAATGTTATAAAAAGTTGAATCTTTTTAAAAGTACTGTAATGCAAGGTAAGTTGTTTTGTAGGTTCATAATGATTAAAATTTTTGTTTTTCTTTCTAGAAATTAAGAAGCCACCAGTGGCCCCAAAACCAAAATTTGTGGTAGGACACAAGGCATCACCGCCCCCTGTTGCACCTAAGCCAGATGTTGTGTTTGCTGGTGTTCTACAAACAACAAAGAAAACTAAACCAGCAATAGCACCAAAACCAAAGGTTCTCAAGAGTTCATCTGTTCCTGAAGTTAGACCTCCGTCATCTTTAAGAAAAAGCACCAAAAGCCTAGAAGAACACAAAGGAGATTCTTCTGAAACTCTAGACCACCTGAATTATAAAAATGGAGACTCCGCAGAAAGCACTGAGGATACTGCTTACATTATACCAATGTGTTCTTGCAATTTTGAATGCATCCATAAGCTTGGAAATGGGGAGAGCACATGTAAAACTCAAATAATTTTTGAACACTTTGAGAACTTAGAGAATATCAAGATAGGTGAACAAATCGCACCATCTATAAAAGGTAGGACAATACAGGAGAGTCATAGTGAAAAAGTGGCAAATAGAAATCGGGTAGTTTTAAAGGCCAGCCTTCTGGAAGGGACACTCAAAGATGTTCTAACACAAAGTGTATTCCCTAATACCAGCCCTCTGAGGCACAAGTGTCCAGATAAACTTGAAAGGGATGATAGTAATAGTTCTAACAATGAAGTTAAAATAGAGTTTACAGATCTTGTGCAGTTATCTGGTTCTGAGGAAGCTACAGGCAAGCCAGAAAATAACCACAATAAGAGAGATGCTGATGAAATTCACGTGTCTGAAACTTGTTCCAGTCTGACTGAAAGCAACCACAATTGCTATTGCTCATTGGACCAAGAAACCCTAGAAAATGTTAATGTAAATAGTGATATTACATTTCCAGGTGGAGTCTGTATGAAAGGAGATGATAAAACTCCACCTTCTTCTGGAGCATGTTCAGCACCCAGCTCAAAAGTATTTCCAGTTCCAAAACCGAGAAAGCCACGTGCTGCATGTCTAGTCCGTCAAGATGGTATAGATACGTCCGGGGAAGGAACAAGAGAACCAATTAATTCAAAGAGCAATTCTGCTGGATCTTGTGAGCACATCTTTAAAAAAACAGCAAAAATTAATGTTCTTGGTCAGAGTGTTTCATATAATGATCATCCAGAAAAAGTGCATCAGACTAATACGTTTGAGATTCCTCAAAATCTTGCTGAGAAAATACACTGGGTGAAGGAATCTACTGATACCGAAGAATTAGCCTCACAGAATATCTTGCCTCAGCTTGTAGAAGAAGCTTCTCTCATGACAGAAAATGTTAAACGTTCCTTGGATGAAGACCTTACTTTAACAAGTCCTGCAGATGAAATGACAGATGACGCTAGTATATTAGCTGCTGTGGACAAAAGGACTAGTTTTATACGAAGCAGTACTCAGTCCATGAGTTTGCCTAAGCAGCTCAAATTGACTTGCAATCAGCACTTGCCTGCCTCCAGTAGCCTTGACGTTTCTGCGCAGAAACCAGAAGATAAAGAGATTCATGTAAAAGATGAAAGTTCACCAAGGATTGTTCCTAAAAAACCTCAGAGACACAGCTTGCCTGCTGCTGGACTGCTGAAAAAAGCTGCATCAGAGGAGCTTGTTGAAAAAAGTTCTTATGTTTCCAGTGAAGATAAAAGATCAGAAAGTGTTCTTGAAAGAACTCGTTTAAGGCATATGTTGACCAAAGAACAAGGTATGTCACCTTACTGTGACAGGCCAAAACGTTCTTCAGAGAAACCTGTCTGGAAATTACCTCATCCTATCCTGCCATTTTCAGGCAATCCGGAATCGTTAAAAACTGCCAGCATTGCCACAAACTCAGACCTTTCAACTGTTGTGATCAAGCCTAGAGCTAAATCTCTATCTTCCGTGGATATGGACAGAACGGACAAACCTTCCAAAGACAGTCAGAAGAAAAATACTTTAAAGAAATTTCTCAACATTAAATTGTCTGTTTGCATAATGAAAAGTGACTTCCAGAAATTTTTTTCCAAGGGCAGCCAATCTATGGATGGTGCCATAGCTAGTCTTTCCACTGGGGAAGGGAATGGTATTAGTAACACCTGGAATGTAACATCCCTAGCAAGCGAAAGGAAAACTAAATCTGCCAAGGCACGTTCTGCAGAAATAGGTAGCCCAGCATCACAAAAGAAAAGACAGAGACATAGGAGTCAGCATGATATACCAAACAGTCAAAGATTAGAGGCTTTAGATGAACAAATATTCTCAGGGAAGCAGTTGTCACAAACACACTTGAATTCTCTTACAAGCGATTATCCACCAGAATATGAGAATGTGCGCCACTATGAAGAAATTCCAGAGTATGAAAACTTGCCTTTTATTCAGTCTTCTGATAAAAATCCATGTTTTGAATGGCAGAATTCCAGCAGTGTGGTGGAAGACCATGATACAAATGTATATGAGGTGGAAGAACCATATGACGCTACAAGCAGCCATTCAAGACATGGCAGGTAATGTAGGAGGAAAGTGTGTGTAAAATAGATACAGCTCTGTGTGCTGGATACAGACAAATTTTTATTATTGTTTGAATGGTGAATTTAGGAAATATGCTTGTTTCATTATGTGTTGGCAAAACAATCTAATACCCCTATGTATTTTCACCCATATATGTTAATTTAGTAACAAGTTGTGCCCCGGAAGGATTTTTTCTTGGTGAAATAACTCTTGGATCTACTTGTAGAATTTAGTATCAAGGAAAAGATGAATTTTTATCATTCCCAATGTCTAATCAGACTTAAAGATAGATAAGCCAACTACTTTGCTTTGGAATTTAGAGTATTCTTAAACTGAAATTGATGATAATAGCTAACTGTTGCTTGTATTCAATCTGGAAAAGCTCCTGTAAATAAAGACCGAGACACAGAATGAACTTGCTTAAATGCTCTTAGCTAAGCAGTCCAATGGAAAGCTCTCTGTGTAAGGGACAGTGCTTAAAGATATGCTTTGGTGACTTTTATTAATAAAGGTTGACTTTTGTAGAGTTTGAGGGTTTGGTAAATCCATGCTCGGATTTTGAATGGAATATGTAGCTATTTGTAGCTTAGTGCCCAGCAAGATACTTTTTGCAATGCCTTGCACTATAGTTTTGTAATATGACCCTGGTGGAAGGGGGTGCTTATTGAGATGAACTGCAGGGCTGGTGTATAGACCAAACTTTGTAAAGACAATCACAACTGCTCTTATTTTACATGTAGAGTACAAAGGCTTTGCTTTTTTTTTTGTTTGTTAATGTATCTCACCAGTGTGAGAACTTAGTGTTTTGCAATGAGATGCTTGCTGTAAAAGGGGAGAGAATATTTGAAATGGCATCCTTATAACATTTTTAGGACGTATAAACTTGTATATTGAATTCCTTTTCATCTACATCAAGTTACTTGCCTTTGTAGGAAGGTGGGAGTCTCTATTGTGGGAAGTAGTCTAGTTAAGCTTCATAATGTTGAATGTGACATCTTACGCATTTACCCTCAAAGTATTGGTCTTATGAACTGAGTACGGTATTATTTTTGTTGTTTACTGAAGTAAAGTGCTTGCTTCTGCCTTGGGATAGTTTTCTTTTAGATGTTAGATTAGAACCAGAGTTATGTGTTCTTGTATTTCATCGTCACTTAGTCTTTCTGTGGTATTCATGAATACTTGGGAGGGATAGCTCAGTGGTTTAAGCCTTGGCTTGCTAAACCTAGGGTTGTGAGTTCAATCCTTGAGGGGGCCATTTAGGGGGTCTGGGGCAAAAAAATAATAAATTGGGGATTAGTCCTGCTTTGAGCAGGGGGTTGGACTAGATGATCTCCTGAGGTCCCTTCCAACCCTGATATTCTATGATTCTAAGACTTTGAAAAGGGGGGCAGAGTAACACTTCCAACAGGCTGATACCCTGGATTACATAAACCTAGTATGTTGCATGTGCACTTGCCCCTTTCTATTAGACCACTTTCCCTAAAATTTCCATAGCCTGGCCTTTGAGATTTGTTAGTAACAATCCTTTTTTTATAATTTAAAACTGCAGAGCAAAAGAAATTGTACTTTGAAACACAGCCTATAAATTGAAAGGACTGTACCTCCAACATTACTGCTAAAGCACAAATACAACCTAACCACAGGAACACAAGGCTTGATGTACCAGAATAGATCACGGGTCCATTTAGTCCTATGTGCTGTCAACAGTATCCAGTTTCAGGTGCTCTAGAGGAAGGCCTAAAATCTTCATAACAGTGGTGCCCAAGCTTTTCTTGTTGCACCCCCTTTACCAGTAATGGAATCTGTTCGCACTCCTTCCCCCCCCTTCCCCCCCCCCCCATTACTGCACAGTTGGCTCAGCAAAGGAGCTTGGGCTGAAGGCAGAGCTGGGGGCTGAACTGGGGATGGGGGAGCAGCTGGGGCTAGAGGTGGATCTGGCCTGGGAGTGGAGAGGGAATGAGGACAAAGCTGGGCTGGGGGTGGAGTAGGGGGCAAAGTGAACCTGTGGCTGGAGCTGGGCTGGTGGTAGCGTGGAGCGGGAGCTGGGCTGAGGGTGGAGTTGGACTGGGTGGCGGTCCTTCCCTGCCCCCCGTGGGAGTTGGCCCGGTCCCCTAGGGGGGCATGACTCACAGTTTGGGGACTACTGCTTTATAATGTACCCAATGTTACTATATCATGTGAGAAATTTTTTCCTCATCCCATTATGCCCAAACAATGAGAATTAATAGCTCTTGCAATTTTATCCTAATTTCAGATGATGGATTACATTGAGGCACATTCTGCTCGCTTGGTAACCTTCTAAGAGGAAATTAAAGATCCAGTGGCACTCTTGGAAGATAAGTGCTGTAGTTAGGCTATTTAAGAGGAGAGCTGCTTTCTTAGTAAAATATTCTGGAGTGGGATTTTCAAAGGGGTTGGTCTATCTTCACTCCCATTGAAGTTTTATCATTGGCTTGAATGGGAGGGTTCATTACACCCTTAGTGTCCCAAAAATGTGTGAAAACCACTGAATTCATATTGTCTACGCAGTTAACACATTACTGGTGTCAAACTCGTTCACTTCTCTGAAATGTTCTTTGGGATACCTTGAGAAAGGAAAGTAATGACTAGAACTAATAAATGAAGCTAACTTGACTTTGGATGTTCTACCATTGGAACAATACCGAAAATTTAGTTCCAAGAGCAAGAGTCTTTAATATAGATTATTGGTTTTCAGACTAATAAATCAGGACAAAACATTTTAAATAGGGTAAAGAAGGTGAATGCATTAGCTTTTTGTTTAGTTGGGTTTTAGGGCATTTCATTTTTTGTTTAATTAAAATATGAGAGAAGAATGGTGACTGGGAAGGGGAGGGACAGAAATTGCTCTTCTCAATGCATGCCAAGTTTTAAATTATCATAATTAGCAGGAGACAGCGTAAGCAAGGAATGAAGTAATTGCCTATTTTCTAAGAAGTGAGTGTTCAGGTTTGAAGCATTACTAAAAGCTAGTGCTTTTTATGGGTCTCCAAAGTACCACTGCAACATTTCTTTTGATGCTACTATAGGAGGTGTGTAACTACAGCTCAGTTACTTCAAAGTAATAGCACGTATTTGTATTTCTCTTAGTGAAAGAAAAATATTTGATTTTTGTCATTCTCCTTTTTATAGTAACAAACTCTTACCAAAAAGAGGGCAAAAACTTCACTGGAAACAAGTTGAAATTGAGTGGAAATTTGCCAACAGTCTAAACAAACTAAAGATGCAAAGGAAAATTAAGTCTGACTTAAAGCATATGTGATATGACAAAACGCAAAGAGACTTAAACTTTCCTGCATCTTTGGGGGCCCCCTTTTTTTTTATTATTATTATTATTTATTTGCAGTTGCAAAGCTGCTATCTTGTACTTCAGACTCCGTTACTCTGCTCCTTCAGCTTTTTGTGGATTAATATACTATGTTTCCTGAATATGTTGGCAATGTTTCCTCTGAGCTTTTGCAACCATACATGATTGCTAATTGATTTTGATTGAATGGAGAGCTCCCTATAATTGTTAGCATAATTTCTGATTGCGTTACTCCTTGAAACACATTGCCTAGTAGGAGGATTTGTCTTTGAGAGAGACTTTCAGCACTCTATATGAGTACAACTACATACTTTCCTTTTTATTTTTTCCAATGACCTGATTTAGAATTATTGTTTGGAAAACCATAAAGTATGCTGAAGTATAAATAAATGAAAATAAAGTTAATAAACAGGACTGATTAGGAATTTTAAAACTCTGTTATTGATGGAATCCTGAGGTTAGATTCCTTCTCGTGGAAACTTTACTAAAACATTGTATGCTAGATATTGCCTACTTGGAGTTTGAAATATGTCTTTGTAGTTAAACTCCATCTTTGGTATGTTCTTGTGTTCGCTATGGGCTTGATTCTGCAACCATTATTTGTGCTGAGTGACCCGTTTGGACTACTCACATGAACAATAGGGACTACATAACATGAGTGAGGGTTGCAGGATTAGGCCCAGAGATAAATGTTAATTTGATGGTCGGCTCTCTTGAATAGGCCATCATCACAGGTGGAAAAAGCGGGCTTCCCTGAAAAGATGGCTGTGTAGGATAATGTCTCATAAACAGATTTGCAGTGTTTGTGCTAAACTCTTATCAGGAGAACTCTTAAATGTGGCGTTTTTGAACAGCTTTCCAATATTTTTAAGAAGTTTCAGATATCTGAGATTTCTTGTTTGCTGGGCTCTGAAAAGATGGTCTTGCTTCTCCTATTGTAAAATCAAAGAAAATGCTGTACAGTAGAACCTCAAAGGTACGAACACACCGGTCAACCGGACACCACCAGTAATCAGGCAGCCGCACAGACAAATAAATACATTAAAAAAACAACCCTCCCCCCCCAGCAAATACTGTACTGCCTTGGGGAGTGCTCAGGGCTCCAGGTGGGGGTGTGATATACCTATCTCATAGAACTGGAAGGGACCCTGAAAGGTCAGCAAGTCCAGCCCCCCTGCCTTCACTAGCAGGACTAAGTACTGATTTTGCCCCAGATCCTTAAGTGGCCCCCTCAAGGATTGAACTTACAACCCTGGGTTTAGCAGGCCCCAACACTCAAACCACTGAGCTATCCCTCTGTTCCTCAAAGGGGCCATCCGTGGCCCAACCCAGTGCATGCATACTGCCTTGGGAGCCACCGCTTCAGGGCCAGGTGACAGGCCGCCACTTCTCCCCCCTGCCAGCGGTAACCGGACTTTGTGTCCAGTCAATATATCTGACCGGACACTGCCAAGTTTCTTTTTTGACTGGACTCGCCGGTCAAAAATCAGACACCTGGCAACCCTAGGGGGGTGCCGGGGCTCAAGTCTTCGCTCCTGGTTTCAGCCCTGCCTGGGGGCGGTGGGGGGTGGGTGTCAGGGCTCAGGGCTTTAGCTATGAGAGGAGCTCTGGTTTCAGCCCCAGCATGTCCCACCTGTAGCTAAAGCTCCGAGCCCTGGCGTCCCCGCCCCC